TCTGTAATTTCTATCAGGCATGGTAGCATATCAAGTGTGTACTCAAGATTTTATCAATATTGATGAATTTGTATGGTGCTCCATAAGATTATCTAGCTCTTCGAGGCGTCTGCTTGGAGTCATCTACAGGAAGCTCACTGTTGGCACCGAGTACGACGATCGTTCACTGGAGGGACTATCACGCTCTATTCACCTTGAATACATTCATATCCTAATTCTAGGAGACTTCAATCTTCCCAAAGTCAGATTCACTGAGCACACGTACAAATAAACTCAAGTTCTGTTCTTCATTCTCACCAAGGATCTAAAGTTATTCGAAAATGCTGATTTTACAACTCGCTGGAGAAATAGTCAGACGCTGTCACGTTTACACTGCGTATTTACAAACGAGGAACTCCTAGTTGACAACCTACAATCCTGGCTCCCCTGAGAAAAGTTGATCATACCTTCATATCATTTAATTTTATCAGCAACGTGGAGTTAAAACATCCTACTAACAACAAGCGTTAGAACTTCGAGCGGTTGGATATGTCAACTTCACAGCCCGATTCACGGCAGGTGGACTGAAAAGCCCACCCTCAACTTGATGTGGGCGTTCTTTGGGACTTCTCACTGCACACGGTCTTATGTTCTGTAAATAAATCTGTCCTCAAACGGTCTTCAAAAATTACGAGAAGCTCACAGTCGTAAAGAATTTCACTCTTTGAATGCTAAAATGTAAAAGTCACTATTGGGCGGAATATAAATGAACTAGGAACAAAAGCATTTATTGGTAATTCAAACAAGCAGGGAACCAAAGTAAAAGAGCAATACTAGAATATAGGCTTCCCTATCAGACAGAGCCAATTAAACAATTCGTTTCCAATCCGAAAAGCTTATTCTGTCGTGTGGATTCCCTTCGACGAGCCTAAACCGGAGTTTCCCGATCGTTAGGTCCTAATGGCCCATTCAACAAAGACGGTGACGTCACTGACATATTAGTAAAAAAGTGTTTTCGGACATCTCAGACCAACTTATATTGACGAGAGCCCAGAAGTGAACCTGAACCGCGACTTAGTTTATCAGAAGCTGCAGCACTTAAACAAGGACACTTCTCCCGGCCCGGATATGGTCCATTTTGATATATTAGGGAAAGCAGCTTCAATTTTGGAAACACCACATAGCGTGATGTTTTTACATTCGCCAAGCCGAGACACAGTATCAGAAAATTAGAAGCTGGTTAATATTACACAAATTTTCAAAGAAAGACTACGCAGTGAATCTTCAAGCTACAGGCCGGTAGCACTTCTCTCAATACCCTCAAAATTATGTAGTCTCTAATGTACGACGATTCACGTGACTAAGTGTTCTCTATGAACTTCATATACCTAAGCAACACGGTTTCATGAAGAACCACTCATGTCAACCAAGCCACTGACTGCGGTGGATCTATGGGCAACCACCATTGATCTCAAGGGGATGGTTTATGTCATACACCTTGACTTCTCAAAAGTTCTTGATAGCGTCAGTGCCATGTATCTCATTGGTAATCTTGAACGATCAGGTACCTAGTTACCGCTTACAGATTGGTTTACTTCATACCCAAATAATCAGCTCTGTAAGGTTGGGGCAAACTTAACCTTTTTTCATTTTAATGGATTTCCTAGTGAGGTCCCTCAGGGTTCACTACTAGAACCTCTTCTTTTCATAATCTACTTAGACAACCGTCTGATTTACTGCTTTATGCTGCTGATATGAAAATCTGGGGTGAAATTCACAACCAAGATGATAAGCTGGCACTTCAGGAGGATCCTAGTTGACTTCAAAGTCGGAAGAATAACAATGGGCTTATCCTTAACAACTCAAAGTGTAAAGTGGTCCATCCGAGACATTTTACAGACTACGCATACAACTGAGGTTACTCCTCTTTAGAGGTACGTGGAGTTTAAAAATATCCAGAATTGTTGGCACTCTATAGTTTAGATTCTTGTGCTAGCTGCAAAAAATGCTTTCCAAGCGAACCTAGCACCGGTAAAGTTAAGGGGCATTTATTCACGGTTGCGGGCAAAACCGTTCCACATAATGAACTCGGAGAATCATGTACCTATTTATATTCGATAATTTTGATGTTTGATTATAATTCCTTGAAAAAGCTTGGACCAGATTGCCAGGCGAAACGTTGGATTTAATTAAAATTCATTCGCTGAGATTTTACAAATATATTATTCCTAATTAATGTCTTACATCAACTCGGCGCTCAAATACTGTGAAACTATTCGTTCTAATTTAGACGACAGTTCTTATATACGTTCCACATTATCTTTGACATTTTTGTTTGACCCCATTGAGAGTATGGAAAAATAGTATTTCCTCCCTCACTCCGAAGGGAATAGGATACATTGGAACGTATCTGACGGTCAGCCGCGAAATCCGTCCGAGAACTCAAATTTAAACCTTGTGAAGAGTGCCTGAAATCACTGAACCTTTATCTAAAAGAGAATAGGTGTCTTAGAAATAATCTAATAACTTACAGCATCCTGAATACTCCTGAGTGTCCCCTTAAAAACCTACTTAAGCCCAGTCCCAACGTAATCCTTGAGGGAAAAACCCAGAAACTGGAGACGCAACATTTCGAAATGAACTGTAAGCACACCTTCTACTCCTTGAGAGTAGACCAATGCCGGAATTCGATTTCGACTGAGCTAGTGCAGGGAACTTCCCGGGTGTATTTTTAAGAGAAAAATATACCTAAATTCCTATTTGGCGTTGTTGGCGATCCGCTGCTACTAGATACTGAAGCCCGTCGAACGTAAGATTCTTCCAACCCATCCACATCCAACTGAATGTATCCACAAAGAAACGGCGATCAACTTACCTTGTTAAGTCAGTGATTTTTATATTGTTACTATTATGATTATTTCATCACGTTTTATTTTTCCATTTTATATACTAGGCTGAATCTAGTTCAGTGTACGCCAAAATCATTCCTTCATTCATCGGTCTCCACTCACTTACTTCCCCATTCTTATGTAAATTCTCCGAATCTTGATTAATTATTACGTCACGTCAGATTCTAATTCTAGTGATCTTATGTAAACTGATCGAAACCCCTATAATTATCACACAATCTAACTGTTCCCAACATTTTCAAACCCTCTTCCAGAAAGGGATATATTATGGTCTATTTCGGTATTATTACATCTATGTTTGTTACTACAATAAACAAGCCTAATTGCTACTTCCAAGTTTTGCCCTCTTCCGTTATTGAAGCATGGTATGTCGATTCACTTGTAATATACGAATCCAAAAATAACAATAGAACCAAACTCCGATTAATACACCGATGTTTGTTCGCAAATTACAGATAACCGACCCAATATATCGTTCTTGAGTTTTTTAGGTTCCTTAAAATATTCTAGATATGTCATGATGTGGGAACCTAATCTATGGGATCTTACATGTAACTCGCATCATTGTATGGACTGAGTCGTCCTATGTTAAGAATCAGCAATATGATGTCAAATACTTCAAAAGAACACATTTAGGCCGGGTGAAAGGTAATACAAGATGCAATAGGTTTTAAATAGGGTGGCCACACCTGCATGGTTGAGCCATGCCAACTTGATTGTTTTCGTGTTCACCATTTCCGACCTGCTCTAAGTGTTACATGTTGAATGTCAGTCTTCTGAGTAATTATATGTTCAGCTTTGAGTATCGTGTGGTTAGGCACCAATATCATTACATGTAATATCCTAAAGGAAGTACAGAGAAAAGTAATAATGTGAATCAAAAGATTATAAGACAGATCCTATGAAGATGAACATCGCCGCCTAGGGTTGTGTTGCTAGTTTACAGGCGAAAACAAGGCGAAATAATAGCGATGTACAAAGTAGTAGATACCCAAGGCCACTCCGGAAACACTACCTTAAACGAAACACTACACCTCCGAAGCAACTCGCGGAGGATTTTACCCTGAAGATTCAACACACAAGCTGCGTTATTTTTCGTACCAAATCTGCAGTGCTCTACCTGTGAGTGTGATGACAAACCGCTCTGTGTTGACCCTTATAGAAAATCTATCAATAATCTACACAGCCCTGGCTTACCATTCTTCCCTTGTAACAGGTACTTTCGATGTCTATCTTGTAGCCTGTAATTATTTCTATCGCTATTTTCATCTTTATTATTATTATTAATGCTGAGGATTTCAATTCATACTATCACATTTTGCTTCGCCTGTGCTTTTTGCTCAATCACTTTATTGACTCATTTTGTCCGTTTTCTATGCGCTCTTCTGAACTCTAACTTCTAATATTTCATATTATTACCAGTCGATTTCCTAACCCCTAATGTACCATCTGCTGTCCCTTGAAGTCCCACTGACCTAAGATGAATGCATTAATTTATACTCGAGAATTCTTAACTGTCAAATCCAATAGGGTCAGCGCTGTCGACTGATCAGACTACACACACTAGACAATCTGGAGGACCCAAAATGTTTGTGACGGAGTAGTGAAAAAGTTATTAAACAAAGTTGAGGGTCGATGGACAGTATATAATTTTGGAGGTCGTGGTTCCAGAACCATTTGAACGATAATCAGATATGGCGTGTTCGATTTTTGACCACGGAGCCCTTAATTATATTAAGTAATCGATAATCCCGAATAAATTATCTAATATATATCAGAAACAAACCACTAATAAGGATACAGATGTGATCTGTAAACTCATATAGTAAACATGTTAATGATCTATCCATAGGATAGAGGATTAAATGAGGAGTTTGTGGGAAGCATTCTATTTTGAGAGGTAGTCACTTTGTCTTGTAAGCGGAAATGAAAAGGAAAACGCAAGGTCAAACAATAACAACAACGATTTGGTAACTTCCGGTGATCATACAAATCAAGTGAAATTATAAAAAATGTGAACAGTGAAAAAACTATTATCGAAAGAAATTTATGCTAGTCACCCTTACAACAATACTAAAGTCCCGCAGCCGTACCGTCAAACCAAGAAATCATGGCAAAAATTTAGTTGGTTTGCATCAACTCGGCACTGAGATATTGGATACCGGTACCATAATCAAATAGGGCGTTACATAAAGCTGGCTGGTGACGACTGTGATTCTTTTCTGTACTTGTCGACGAAAGTGACTGTTTTCGAACCACTTGGCACACTTAACAGTGTTTACTTTGACGATGCCCGGAAACACGTAACTCAGATTTTATCATATAAGTGTTTGTAGATATTTACTCTCAGGTGTCGTGGTACGATGGGTGTCAATGTCAAATCTGTTGATAATGATTTGGTTTTGAATTTTCGGTTAGTTATATTCTAGTCGAAAAGATTTTGCTCATAATTGACTGACCAGAAATCTGTGGTAAGCTTGGGTTGTGGAGATCTTGCTTCAAGTCGTCATTCCCTAAAGTTCTGTAATAAACTATAGTTGACAGTAGTTCTAAACAGGATGAGTTAAGGCTTACTTCACCAATAATCTTCCGCTTGTAACCATTTTACCGAGTTAAGCAATTATTCCATTCTAACATTCAGTCTAAAGACTGAAGGATATGAATAGAGAAAATACAAAAGCAGGAAATTGTAACATGAGCATGTGCGACCTTTGTCAACGTTACTTCCAGTGAGATTTCTGGTATCAGTTCTATTTCCTGTAGTTATGTGATCTTAGAGCTCAGTGGCTCTGAAGCACTCACTTATTGCCTACATCTAGATCCTGAGTTTTTATACATCATGCTTTTGACCTTATGAATTCGTCTGCCGAATTATATTCTCCATCTCATCTTTTTTCGCACTATCACTAACAATGGTACTTCCGCTGCATTGATGTCTTGTTGATTTCACCTCGCTCGGCTTATGGAGCATTGGACTTTAACCAATGCATATTCGTTCAAGGTTCTACATTGCTTATGGCTTAATGGGTAGTTTAATACCATTTCCACACTGATCATCATCAATCGATTTCTGTTCTGGCTTTTATTTCCATCTAATACCCATAAGCTTATTTTAATTTTCATGGTTTCCCTTATGGGAAACAGTTCAGAGTGTATAAAAACATCTTCAAATTATCTAGGCTTTCTAAAGAATAATTGATTTGTCTACCATCTAATCTTCTACTGTTACAAATCTTTAAACCTAGAATTTTCCCTGCATTAATGTTACAATTTATGTTTGGTTTTACTCAAAAAACAGGTTGGGGGCATAAAATATTGGTATTTAGCACAACACTATTAGTTACTGCCCAACTTTTTTTATGTGTTTGAAGAAACATCCTGCATTTGTTTATGCAGAATGTTTCTTATCCACACCGTCCCTGCAGTATTTTCAGATCACTTCGTTTATTTCTATTTTTTATGGGTTTTCGTATCACAGCATAGATGATCAAGGCGAAGTTTTGAGCATCAAGTTTTCTGAGAATAACAGAATCTTAGGAATTCAGCGAACTCATCGATCAGTTGATTTTTTAAATTTTCAAGCCAACTGTCCCGGTGGTCTACAGTATTCTCAAGAATGCAAGGTTACCTTATTTCGTATAGTAACTTCTCATGTTTTCGTGTATAGAACAAATCAGCATTGCTTCTGGGATTTGTGTGGTGTTCCAACTATGAGGTCCTTTTTGTCACAAACGAACAACTGGAGTTATATCAAGTAACTTCACCTTTTTAACATCTGATAAGCGTTTGTTTTATCTAACCTAGTCCCAATATCCCTGAGATTAGTCCCAAGTATGAGTTGACAGTTAGCGAAAACTATTTGCACAGAAGTATAACAAGTAACTAGTTTTAGAAACGACTATATTGAGTAGTGGTATCGTTATTTTTGAGTTGTTTTCGGAAATTAATGTCGCCATATCTCGGGAACATTAAACCGTAACTATGTTCTTAAAGAAAACCAATGCATCATTATTTATGTTGCTATCGTTTGTTGATCTTAGACGAACCGTAAAAATATTGTATGCTGAAATTCTGATGTTTCCGTTTTTCATTTATTTATTTAAACATAAATATTGATACAAAGGGGCGTCAATTACATATGCGCCACACAATAACAATGAGGCTGTCAAGGGATAGAGAGTCTAAAGTGCGTATAAGAAAAAGGAGAACAACAACGAACAGAAATTAGTGTATGAGAATTAAACTATAATAGTTATAATGACAGAAGCAGTTCAGTTAGCAAAGAACATAACCAGAAAGAATTCTTTCAGTTAAAGAAGTTATATTCACTTTTTATGAAGTAAAAGAAAGTTACAACAGAATCGCCACTGGCTTCTATTCTGAGCCATATGTGGTAGCGTCTCTAGCCACTGTGTTGCACCATCTCTAGGACCTCAACCAGGGAGTCGTGAAGGACCAACAGAAGCTATTCCTTTGCAGCTTTCTTTCATACCACGACATCATGTCAAACACAGACCATCTCTTCGCCTTCTCTAACCAGTCCCAGAGTCGAAAAATAATGCACAACGTGGAATTATCTAGGACGACATTCGTGGAATATGTCGATGTTTCAAGATAGTAACACTAATTGAATTGTCACCGCTGTGCCCAAACACACAATGCCGAACCTCTGCATTACCAACAAGGTGTTGCTACTGAATGTCAGCAATCCTTTGGAGACAACGATGATCAAACACAGAGAGTCGTTTGACATCCTCAACTCGAAGACGCCAGGTTTTACAAGTGTAGAGCGGAACTGCTCTCACTGACACGTTGTAGATCCGACCTTTTACAGCCAGACTAACACCACGAAGGCGCTAAAGATGACCTAGATTGGCATAAGCCGCTCTGGCTCTCACTATACGTTAATTAATCGCATCACTCACGCCACCACCAGCACTTATGCAGCTACCCAGATACATGAACTTCTCGACTACTTCTATCTGCTTACTACCCAGGGCGAGTGCTGGATCATGGTCTTGCAGTCTTATAAAATTATTTTGCACTTCAAAGGTGCGGAGCACATACCATACCTACGGACACTAATTGCCAACTGACTAAATGCGGATTGCATAACTTGAGTATCATCGCACAGGAACATTCAAGTCTTCGGCTAGTACCACAATACCTGTCTTACGCATTTTTTTATCGAAGAACAATTAATCACTGGTAAAATTCATCCTTGGTCGCATCCGGGCTGCAATCTGTCGGAGCATAGGTGGAGATGACGAAAAGACATCGTTTCACACACCGATTTCTTCTCGCTTTCATGGAACTTTCTAATCTAATAACATATAACAGACTGTTAATGGGAATCCAACAGATCAGTGTTGCCTCATTTTTAACGTTTAATGCGACACCAACGCCAGCAAGACCAGACGATTATGCCACAGGGTCCCTGGATAAACGCACGTAAAACAAGCTTTTCGAAGCGACAGATGGAGAGCGGATTTGTAGTACTTCACTAGTCTTGAATACGGGTCTCCGATAGACAATAGACGTCGGTATTAAGACTTTCTAAAGACATAGTCAACCCTATCTGTTGTCTGATCTGCATTAGTGTGCGAACGTTGAAGGAAGCCAGTTTGAATGGTATACATGGTTTCAGAAAGGCTGTTTCAACATTCGTATTCGGTGGTAGCGTTCAATTTCGACCAGTCAGTGACTCGAGATCGTTTAGATAGAACAGAGTTTACACCATAGGCGAGCTGCTGTATAAGTTGAAAAATAAGGATATACAAAGTGGGAATAGAAGAGAGTAGATAAGCGACATAGTACATTAAAAAATAAAAATGAATGTTACTAAATGATTGTGAATGTGATTTGTCTGAATGCTAATTGAAGCCGGAATTATATTCCCAGTAGTAGTCGTCATTTAATTTGTGTGTGGGCCGTGATACTGCCCGTCTATCCGCACCGAAATAGGTGGTTTCCTTAGAGGGCCACACACCCAGAGCCTTCAACCTAAAGGTCTGGTCCACAAGGTAGTGGAGCAACGTTAGGAGATGCAGTTCCATGGTAGCCGGTGACCAACAATAGGTTCATACGCCACTTGTTCCCTCAGGATCCAGGAGTCCATGTGCACCATTGGTTTGGAATCAGGGTTTCCCAACTCCCCTAGGTGGACTCACCGTGTTGACCAACCCGGTTAAGGAGCCTGAAGTTCTACTCACTGCCTTCTTGCGGCGAAATTGTTTTTTACGAAATCGAGAGGCCGAATAGCGAATGTCAGGCTCTTTAACCGGGTTGGTCAACACGGTGAGTCCACCTAGGGGAGTTGAGAAACCCTGATTCCAAACCAATGTAGCACATGGACTCCTGGATCCTGAGGGAACAAGTGGCGTATGAACCTATTGTTGGTCACCGGCTACCATGGGACTGCATCTCCTAACGTTGCTCCACTACCTTGTGGACCAGACGTTTAGGTTGAAGGCTCTGGGTGTGTGGCGTTCTAAAGAAACCATCTATTTCGGTGTGGACAGATGGGCAGTATAACAGCTCTCATACAATTCTGCTTCATTGTTATTGTGTGGTGCATATGTATTTGGTGCTGTTTTGTATTTATGTTTACATATTTAAATAGATAAAGCGATGATGAATGGCTAGTATTCAATCTATTCGTCAGTTATCTCCCTAAAAAACTAATCTACAAACACGAGTCTTTACTAAGTGTTCACTATATTCGTCATCAATTTCTATTCGATTAAACTGTTTGTTTGAAATATCTAAAGTATACATTTTTTTCAGCATGGAGTATAGATCCAAAGATATTATAATCCAAGGTGTCTGTAGACTCTGTTTCACTAAAGTAACGAGAGAAAATGCTTCCTAATTCACTCGTATATTCCATCTGAGAGTTTCACTTTTTCTCAAACTTCATTATCTGTCCTGTAGTTGGTATTTGATTCTCAAGTGCAGACATTTTAACTCAGAGCATCCATATTTTTTCTTCAAAATACCTTTCCTAGCAGAAACAGTTATATTTAGAGGATTATTTTTTATATCAATAATTTGTGTAGAACAACACTTGTAATTTATAACTTTCAATTTGTAATAAATACTTGTTTATCACAGCTGTAAATGATACTTCAACACAGATTCCAGGGAATCCAAACGCTTATTTCCTTGCCTTTTTGTTTCACGCACAACCGTGTGTGAATTGTGGAGAAGGTTCAAACAAAACTACAAATTTAAAATTATCCTTATAAGTAATGCTTAATCTTGTCTTAACTTCCAGTTTAAATATATATTCGTTTAGGGAAAACGTATAATGTTATATTCTTGGTATATCGAAAGATGCACACTGAATTCTACCAATGTAAGTAAAAATAATATCATTTAGTTCCACAGGAAATTAGATTAATTTATTCAGAAGTTTTAACTTTTCAGTTTTCATCTTTTTGCTTTTCCGTACAAGTCAGCTTTTCAAACCATTGTTTCTATATCACACTAGGCATTACCTGAGAAGAATATTCTACGCTTGAATAGTTGTTTACCTCTCAACACATGCTGGTTTTTATGGAACCCAGAGACTCATATTTGTATCACTTCAGACCCAGAGAAGAAACTACATATGTTTCAGCTAAAGGTAAGATGGAGTTGAAATTCCTGTGTATAAAAGTTCGGCAACTATTCCACCTCTTCAAGGTACACCATTTTCAACGAAACTCAATTATTTTTCTAAACAAAATTGTGTGTCACTATCCTTTGTCGTATATTTGATGACTGGAGGAATCGACTGGAAAAATTCACGAGTCATCAGTCCATCGTATCGGCAACACATTTGATAATGTAAAAAATAAAGGTCAAACAGAAAGTCTTTCTTCATAAAGCAAAAATTAAAATGATTATCATCTATTTTAAAAATGTTTATACGGTATTTGTGTACCCCATGTTCTTGGGGTAGTTTCAAGTTATTAACCATTTCAAGGAGTTGTAATTAGATCCAAAATGATTTAGTCGACAAATAAGCTTAACGGAAATCATATTTATGAATTGACCATTTTAATAATGAATGAGAGGTAAATTGTACTATGAAATTTGTGTGGCGCATATATATCTGGTTCCCCTTTATACCAATATTTATGTGTTTAAATGAATAGATAAATACATAAAAATATCAGAATTTCATTTTGAATCAATCTATCTCAACCAGTAAATATTCATATTTGTTTCAGTATTGTCTTTCTCTGAAGATTGTGAAGCCACACAATCTTCATTGACAACAGATAGGAAATCAAAGTATTTTTTCGCTCACTATTTCTGAACAAGAAAGTTACCACTGATTTGATAAAACTTTTATTTTAGTTTAAAAATCTTCAATAATCTTTTGCCTACCTTATAGACACCCGGCACAATTACAAAAGGACCAAAGTTCCTGTCTCCTACATCGGTAGGGGCCAATGGTGATACCACATCGATTGAACAGAAACACTGTTTTTTAACTCTATTGTAAGTAAGTTTTTCTACTTTTTAATTTTTGTTTTCAGATATGACGATTTGTACTTTTGTACTATTCGCTACGTAAAGCTATATAACGAACAAAATCTTACCCGAACAATTAGTTTTTATACTTTAAAAATGTAAGCTTGTTGTTTCTCGAGTTTATTAAACCCCTTTTTATTTTAGAGAAGGTCCTATTGCATTGGCACACCTTGTAATTTTAGATTATCAGGGTCCTGTGTCATTTAGTGTATTGGATAACCTGTTCATGGTACACTATCAGAGCAGAAAGGTGTGTATATAGTTATATTCTCTTGAGAAATATTTCACTGTTTTATTCTCACAACTATATGGTCTCATGTCAGTTACCTCAATGGTAATTACACATAATGTTCATTGGGTCGACTGGGTTTTCGTTCAATTAACTCTCTAAAAACAGATATACCGGTGGTGTGTTTTACTCGTATTTCTCAATTCAATAATAAAACGGTGTCCTGTTACTGATATTGCTTTGCTTTGTGTAATGTGATTGCTTCAACTAAATGCATCAAACTAGCTATTGGAATAAAAGAACTCTCGTTTTTAGATGCTGATCCCCAGTTAACTAACGCTCAACACTAAATGTGATCATGTCTATCACTCCTCATTTAATCTTCCATATCCGAATCCTTTGTTAATAATGTATTATAAACGAATATTCCCTTTGCAATAGCTAATGGATTACGAATGTTAGAATGTTGAGCTTTAAGCTGACTTAGATATTGTGGGGACTTAGTTTCATTAATATTCGATTGCTTTAGGCAAGGTTTACCAAATTAAATTTATAATGTCTATCAGGTGCTTCTCCGTTTGTTAGGTACTCGTAAAACATATTTTTCGAAGGTAGAGAAAACATGTAGTTAGTCTTGTTTCGCTATCACAATTTTTAAGACATTACTCTGGTTTGACCTCCAGAGAATCTGTGTGATAGTTAATTATAATTTTTGCACAGTAGATAATCCTGTATGGGGAAGCAGCACCCAAAGAACATGAGCACTTACAACATACTCCATTAGTCTCCGTTTCCAGGTTGCTCCTAATGCTCGCGATCTCTGAGATAGTGGGTAATCAAAGTGTCTAAGAAAACAAGCCAAAGAAGTGAATCTCTAAAATGACTTTTTATCGACTTCATTCTAACGTCTAAACATACTTGGTAAAAACCTCTACTTTCTACGTATATTGAATGAGCATTTTTAATGACACGTTTCAAAACCGTTCACAGATTAAATCGTATTTTTCATCTTTGTACATTTATATGCATTAAAAATCTTCATTGCGTATCATTGACATATTTCTGCATTTTTTTTATGCACACTGTTGTATTAGACAAGTCAAGTAAATGTATATACAAAGTTTCTCGCGTATACGAAATAGGTGACTGAGTCACAAAATGTCGGAATTGAAATGTTTTTGCCTTCTAAGTTATTTAAAAATATATAATCATTTTATTCGTTATTCTGTATGGTTTCTTACTGAATAAGAAATTTAGGCATCACACTTAGTTTGTAAAATTGAGTTGTGTTTATTTAGTCATATTTTACGTCTTACACAAAACCTCCAGATTATTATTACGTGCGGTAAAATTGTTCCTTTAATATTGTCAAGATAATTAAGAAACCACAGGTACTCCTTCCTATGTTGGTAAAAAACGTTATTCTTGAATGTTGATATAACCTGTTGCATAGATCGTTGTGCCACTATTTCAGGTTCTACATCGAAAAGTAAGCGATAAGTCAGTGTTCATGTTACTTAGGTTTCATATAAAAACTTTTCCGCTTTATTTTTCACTCGAATCAAGCTAATAACATCTGAATATAAATAAGTAATTACACCACCCTATTTAATGTACACGAATGGAGTGACATTAAAGTAGTGTAAGCAATAAACTTATACACCTGAGATTTCTTTACTCCTGAAAGTTTAAAAAAGGGATAAATTCCAAGGATGTGATAGCAGTAAGGTGTTTTCTTAAGATAAACAGTATCCACACAGATTCTACATTCTTACAACGGAATATGTTAGAAAAGGTCGACCCTAGAAATAAAATACCTCACTGTACCCTACAGACTTTAGTCTTTTAAAGTACGGAGCTAACGCATCAAAAACTGAATACAAAAGGGCATATGTCACCAGCCTCAAGCAACTGTTCCTTGGTCTTCAGGATCGCACTCTCAGGTTATTATGAACACCACCAATCCGGTTTCTGTTTCAGGTTTTTCAAGAGGAACTATTTTTTTACGATAGAGGCAACTGGAAATTGATAACTACGTTTGTACACCTAACAACAAGCTAAATCATTTCGTTCATAATTAATATTACTTTTGACAGTTACATGTTATTGCTATCCATTTATCTTATCACCTTATCTGGGTTTTTTATTGTCTGTTCACCTTCTCAACCTTCAAAGTAACCGATTTCAGCTGTGTTTGGTCAAAAGACGTAGATATTATTGCAGTAAATTGTGATCTCAAACATATATATCGTTTGTATAAGGGGTGTGAATTATCCTGCTGTTGATATTCTTTACTGTATTTTGACGTCTTTGTTCCTGTTTGCTCATCAACACTAAGATACAGGTACTTCCGGCTGACGAGTCCCAAATAGGACGAAATGCGAATCCTGAACTTTACTGATAGACACAATCTATCTGTTCTATAAGCTTATCTAGAGGAACAGAAAGGATATTTTGATTATTACAAAGAAAGATTTGTAGAAAGTTTCTTAAATTTCCTGAAAATTTTAAGTTGTTTACCATATGATGTCATATATTGAGACGCGTTATTCGGGCAGCTAAACGCAATCTTATTTAAATTGCTTCCCATTATATTTCATGGTGTTCCATTTGCTTCCACATCGTAATCTTTGACTCGTCATGATAGTTATTTCCAGAAAGTGGTATATATGTAATATTTTTGTTTTTGTGTCATCTCTCAACGCCCAACTTCGAGATTAACAGGCTGGATTCCGTAAGGATCGGTCATGCACAGATCAAATTGCGACACTATGAATCATCGTGGAACATTCATTTGAGTGAAATTCGTCACTATATATCAACTACATCGACTATGAGAAGGCGTTTCACAGTGTGGACTGAAGGACATTATGGAAACTTCTTCGACACTATGGAGTTCCTCAGAAGATTGTCAACATTATCCGGAACTCATACGACAGACTACAGTGAAAAATCGTGCATGGAGGACAGCAGACAGATGCATTTCCAAATAGGAACCGGAGTCAGACAAGGCTGTCTACTCTCCCTATTTCTTCTGGTGATTGACTGGATTATGAAGAATTCGACATCTGAGGGGAAGCACGGAATACAATGGACAGCTCAAAATCAATTAGACGATGTGGACTTCGCAGATGTCCTAGCCCTTCTGTCCCATACACACGAACAAATACAGACGAAGACAACTAATGCAGCAGCAGCCTCTGCACCAATAGGCCTCAACATACACAAAGGAAAACGCAAGATTCTCGAATACAACACGGAGAACACCAACCCAATCACACTTGATGGCAAAACTCTGTAAGAGGTGGGAACATCCATGTACCTGGGGAGCATCATTGATAAACAAGGAGGATCGGATGCAGATGTAAAGTCGAGGATTGGCAAAAGCAAGGACAGCATTTTTACAATTGAAGAACATATGGGACTCAAAACAACTCTCAACTAATTTCAGAATAAGAATCGTTAATGCGAACGTCAAGACAGTCATACTGTACGGAGCCGAAACGTGGAAGACTACTACATCCATCGTCAAGAAGGTACAAGTATTTATAAACAGTTGTCTACGCAAAATACTCAACATTCACTGGCGGGATACTAACAGCAATAGAGTTTTATGGGAGAGGACAAACCAACTTCCAGCTGAAGAGGAAATTAGGACAATACGTTGGAAGTGGATAAAACATACATTGAGGAAATCACCAAACTGCATCACGAGGCAATCCCTAACTTGGAATCCGGAAGGGAAGCAGAAAAGAGGAAGGTCAAAGAACACATTATGCCGGGAAATAGAAGCAGATATGAAAAGGATGAATGTTAACTGGAAAGGATTGTGCAGGACAGCGTTGAAGAATGCTGATTTGCGGCCTATGCTCTTCCACGATGGGTAACATGCATAAGTAAGTAAGCCATCTCTTAAGTAAACATATCTAGAATAGGCATTCGAATCTTGATAAACACACGGTGGGTTCACAGTTTCTTTCATCAAACTAAAGCATCAATATAAAATATTTGAAGTTCATGGATGTTTAGCGGTCATGAATGTTTCCCAAATTTTATCTAACTGGTATGTTAGAAACCCGTGCTTGCTCAATATTGATTTTATTCGTGCGAAATCTATAGATTAGTAAAGTTAATCTTAGTAAAAGTCAGACAAAATAAATGATCACATTACAAGTTTTATCTTCTCACAAGGATTTTAAAATTACACATTAACAATGTTCGTAAAAGATTCAGCTTATATACAATTTCTAGAGAGTGTTGACAGAACCATTTTATGCTGCCTTTATAAATTTAAAATCAATGTATAATGAGTTGTTATAACGTATGATTTGCCCAATTTAATATATGAACGCCAATTTAGAGAGGAGTGAATTTATTGATCGGACGCAAATAATACATAAAATCGTACGAGCAGTCTTGAGTGCGTATCGGCCCTGCTATCTGCCTAGCCCAGCCAGTTGAGTCCAGAACACAAATAACAGCCTCGGCAATATGAATCATTATTTACAAGCATACTGGGTTTATATTACAAACCAAACAGACCACATTATACCAAAAAATAGGAAAATAACATTTATACAATAATTGGCCAATGTGGCTGGGGATAGGGGGAAAATTATCAATAATAATAGTTCAAAGGTCAAAGTAAAGGTTATGATTAGATCAGTTGTTTAACAACTATACGATAGGAAATAGGCATATTACATTTGTCCGTAAAAAGACCTCAGATTTAGCATTCATAATTCACCAGGGGATATAACATGAGTTATTATTTATTATATAGAAAGCCTATTATAATTGCGTCCACACTGATGAACAGCAGTAATTTGGTTGCAAGTCTTCGGCTTTATCTACAAAATAATTCATTTTAACAAGAAGTTTAGACTTTGTAGCATAAGTCACATCACAAATTATTTTCTTAGTTTCATCGTGTCTCTTTAGATTAAATATCATGCTTCATTTTTGAATAGATCATGATAAAAGTACATACTTAACAAAATGATGTTTTCAATCCAGATTTATCACTAATTATGCATGTATCTTTTTCCAGATGAATGACTTACAATCTATCTTTTATCATCTATGCCAATTAACATATTTATTGGGCTGCTACCTACAAGTTTTCGAAGTTTTGATCTAGTGTAATATTTTTATTTTTCCTGCATTATTTGTTTTTTTTTACCAGGTTACGTCAGTTTTTGATATCGCCCTTAATGGAACTGTTCACAATGTAATTCATCATACACCTATATTACGTGATATTTCAATTGCACCATTCAATCTTTTCAGTAAAAGTGCGTCTCTCCTGCTCAACAATTTCTTGATAAAATGCATATGTTTAGTTGAATAAGTTTTATGGAGATTGGTTTGATTTGTGGGTGTTATTCTAAATTTATCTCACATCTGTTTTCTAGTATTCAGTATAGCTTGACCTTTTTGTGCAGAAGTGTACATTGTCCATAATTAACACAAGTAGAAACAAAAATTACATAAAATCTCGTACAAAATTCTATTCGTTCCAATTGGTATACATTGCAGTTGCTCGAAAGGAAATTAAAACAGAAACAGTAGAAATTTCGTGTTTAGTTATTTGCTTGACCTAGCGAATAGCGGATACATGTTCACCTTTTGGGTACTATTTATAGTTTATAGTTTCACCTGTGAAATCTTCCTTTTTGATTTATTCACATATTTAATAGTATCTCACAGATTATTTGTAAACCTCAGTTTATTACATAACAATCTTCTGCAAATCAGTGTTAATAGCTCATTTTGTGAACCATTAAATGTCTGTTTAACGTATTTTGATCTTACTTTTCAGTCATTCCCTCATTATCAGCAAACTTGGATGCTCAAATTCCTATTGATTTATGTATCCTTGACATAAATATAAATCTCATTCTGTCTATTGTCGGTTTTGTAATTTGTAACCTTCAAAATAATGAATTATGAAACCAAAGTCAGTTATTCTATTTAATTGTTCTGGTTAATTTGTTTACCATGATTCTGTAAACGCTTCAAAGTTCTAGCTAACTTAATGGTGCCATTAAATTTGATTTGTTTAATCTATCATCCACCAAATTTGTAACGACCAGAAATCCTCGAGTTTTCGAACAGTAAGCTGCAATACCCAATTTTCTAGTTAGTGATGCACTATTTGATATTACCCAAACACAGTGATTTGTAAATAAATGTGGTACTAATTTGTTGTTTAAGAATTATGAAGGTATATATTATACAATATAACTAAATAGTTTTAAGAAGTTAGCTGTACAGTCAGCTTTCGTTCTCGAAATTGAATACAACACTAGGTATAAAAATATCATTTGCAAGAAATACTAAAAAACTGATTACCCGTCAGAGAATGATAATGTATCCTATCACGGAAAGAACAGTTTTACCATATTGGCTAGCTAGTTTTAGTACACTCAAAAGTGAATTTTAAGGAATGAAGTTCAGAAAACATTAAGAATCATGAATACTAACTACCTACTAAGAATCACAGGGACTTCCAACAAACTGGAAACGTATTGCAATCCATAAACGAACAATCCAAATCAATCAGTTCTAGCAAATGTAGTCAAAAAGCGATAAATGTAGTAGCCTCTATAATCAAAGGTCAATAAAAAGCAATATCAGCTAGGACGTACCAAAATAGAAATAATACTGTAGAAGAAACGCAGTTGTAAGAAAATATGAACATTAATCTTGTCCTGTATCAAAGATTAAATATGATATGCTCAAAATGGATGAGAAGGGAAACCTAGTAATTAAGGTGAAACAAAATATTGGTGTCATATGGCATGCATGTAGGAGGGTTTTTCTCGCTCCTACATACGGACATACAAATACTAAAGGATCTTACAATATTATTAAGTTTCTAATCATGCTGCTTGATTTTACCATTGTGTAAAAAAACTCCTTAACTTTTCATATTCTCACAGATTCAGCGAATTGGATTATTCATTTGTGTGGTGTCGTAATTGACAACAGTCTTGGTGAGTGTTATTATTATGTTAAATTATCCTACAGAAGTTCTGTAACTCATCCGGCAATTTCTCCCTTTCTTGAGTTAACGAAGTGTGCTTGAAAAAAATTTTAATTTTAAATCGCTAGAACTTTGTGTGAAAAATTATTAAACACACTACGTCTACACACCAAATGAACAAAAGCTGTCGGTTGGGTAGCGCAATCTCTGGCGGATGACTTCATAACTACTGTCAATATTTGAAATCAGCTTCAAATCACTTTTGTTTCGTATCCAGGTTTGGTTATGTTTTATTTTGCATAAGCACATATTCCGGGGACCAAAAAATACACACAAATAAAGCCTCAACTTGCAAAGAAATAAAGTAGAGAGGAGGAATACAAACTAAAAATAAATAAACAGGAGTGGTTTTTCATAAGAGATACAGTTCAGTTGAAATTACAACTCGAAAGCCTTTCAGTTAAGGGAGTTAATTTTATTGCTATAAAGAATGTAGTCACAAACCATATGCGGATTATCTATAGCTTCTACTCTGAGCCATATCTGAAAACATCGCAAGCTCATCAATGTTCTATTCTCGTTAGCATACTCGTTGCAAACGGAAGTATGTACATTTTTCATGGGTAGCAAAAATTTGACTAAGTTTATGAAAACGATCTAACCATTCATTGAGCACTGGATTCAAATTATATTTCAACAACTTCGGTGTGTGTCTTCAACTCATTAGATGTAGCTCTCATTCTGGTGTTCGAACCCACCTTTCGTCATTATGTAGATCTTTCACTTCATCAGTGTTATTCTAGTTTGTCCGAGTTAAATATTCTTTAAATAAACTAATTATTCCTAAACACGTCCGTTTAAGTATATATTTATCAACATACCAATTTGTCCAGATTGGATATTCAATCATTTTTGTAGTTCCTTTGATTGCTTTCGTTCAAACTCTTTTTCTAGGTTGCTCATGGTTGTTATGTGTAAATAATATGGTTTTTCCAAAAATAGTTGCTAATCACGTGAGTTTTGTTTGTCTGAAAAGATCTTTTATACATTTTTCAATCAGGTGCTCGTCTTAGCATTTAATTGATTACTGATTTTCTATCATTTTCGTCCACCAAATGTTTATGTAACTAAAATAACTCATAATGTCATTGAATAAGAAAAAGAGAATTCAGCGAAGAAAATTTTCTTTTCGACGAAATCATTTACTTAAGCTGTACATTCGTATATATAGTAATATGGAAAATATATGTCTATAGGAGGCTAGAAAAGATTGCATTAACAAAATTGATTCGACAATAAATAACAAATGAGGTGACGTACTAATCAAGGGGTAAGGAAGAAAATAATTTATGGGTCAGATAATAGTTCAATTGACAGATTGAAGAAAAGCGACAAACACAAAGGTCATAATAATAATAATACTAATAATAATCTGAGTAATAATCGAGAAAACTTGTTTAAGTTAATAATAATAATAATAACTGATTAGAGTTTAAATGTAAAATAGTAATTAAAAAAACAAAAAACCGATAATAATCAGATAAAAGTGCAGAAAAAAACACAAAAAACGTACCCAATGAGGGAATTAGGGCCAAGGAAGGGTAAGAGGTTGGACAAATCGTTTCTGCACGCAAATTTCAGGCTGGAATTCATGGATTGCCAATGCCTCAGCAGTGCATAAAATATTGATTCGACCTCCCTTTGATCCGGTTTTTTTAACTCTATAGATTATTTTAAAAGACGTGTCTTTTGGAGCAATGTGTCCACAATTGATCAAATGCTCTTGTATCGAACTGGATATCTTTTTACATTCGCCTTTTAGGAGCCAAGCTGGATAGTGTTCAGAGATACGTTTGGAAAGCGATCGCTTTGTGCGGCCTATATAACGTGCTCCACATGAGCAAGTAAATTTATAAATACACATCGATGTGGCCCAAAGCGAAAGTTTATCCTTAACACACCTCCAAATGGTAGGTCGGCTAGAGAAAACGATTCGGAGCTTGGCTGTGTAGAAAGTTTTATTCAACGTTTTTGAAATCCGTTTATTCAGGATTTCAGCAGCCGTGTCTCCCTTGAATTCCATATTCATAAACAAGGTTTTCTTCTGCACTGTCAAAGTTATTTCTTGCTGACGTCTAGATGTTAAGTTGCTATCGACGAACCTCGGTGGATAACCGTTTTTGATGAGGGTCTGTCGAAGATGAAGTAATTCTTCATTTATTGTGTCACTATAACAGATTCGCTTAATCCTAGATAATAAAGAGTGAATTAAGTTCCTCTTTCGACTCAGTGGAACCCAACTATGGAAATTCGTGTATTGTCCATTCCAAGTGGGTTTTCTATATATAGATCTCTGTAAATAACCATCAGGCAATCTTTTCAAACGGACATCAAGAAAATGGAAGTCATGGTTCGATTCTGCCTCTAAGGTAAATTGAATTGATGGGTGACAGTTATTGAAAATATTTAATATTTCATTGTGGTCCATGTCATCATCACAAATAATGAAAGTATCATCCATATATCTCTTATATAAATGAAATTTCCCGATTATTGGTCGAAGTGCTGAATTTTCTAGATTGGCCATCAAACAATCAGCCAAAAGAGGACCCAATGGACAGCCCATTGCAACTCCATCTGTTTGTCTATAGAAACCATCATTAAATTTAAATTGCACGTTGAGCGTGCATCGTAGGAGTAGTTCTTTAAGATAGTGTTTTGGGATACATATTTCCAGATTATTGTTTTCAATATAGTCACATAAAAAACAAATAATTTCTGTGAGAGGAACATTTGTAAACAACGAAGTGACATCTAATGAGAACATTTTCTTACCAATTACGTTGATATTTCTGATTGAGTCGACAAATTCAAAAGAATCAAGAGCATTGTATTTGTTGATATGATTTTTAACAGGTTGTAAAATGTCAACTAACCATTTAGCGATAGAGTGATATGGAGAGTTGTTCATATCAAGTATTGGACGTAAAGGGACATTATTCTTATGAACTTTTGGGAGTCCATATAGTCTAGGTATAACAGAACCCGATGGTTTGAGATGTTTAAAGAGGTCACAATTGATAATGAACTCATCTTTCATCTTCTTTAGGATTTTAATTAGCATCTGTTCGGTTTTTTCAGTTGTGTCATTTTGGACGGTTTCTTTAGAGAATTTGACCGGATCAGATAGTATCGAAGATATTTTGGAAATATAGTCAAGGCGATCCATAAGTACAATTCCTGCACCCTTGTCTGGGCGACATAATACTAAGTCATGATTTTTCCGAAGATCAGATAATTGAGATTTATGTTTTTTTGTGAGTAAGCGACTAACTGTAAGGATTTTATTTACATATTGATTACAACACTCTACAAGAGTTGTTTTGAAATGTTCAAAATCTTTATTAGATAAGGTCATTTGTTTGACGAATAAGGCTTTCAAACTGGATTTTAGCGTTCAATTCATTAATGTTAGTAGACGTACTACAAAATTTAGGATCAAGGGGTAATGCTTGCAGCTGAATAGTCGAAAATGTTATGCTTGAATAATTGAAAACATATTTCTCTGGCAATTCGGGAAAAGCAGCTTGAGTTTCCGTCTGTTTTAAACTTTTCATTAATTTTTTCTGCACTTTTATCTGATTATTATCGGTTTTTTGTTTTTTTAATTACTATTTTACATTTAAACTCTAATCAGTTATTATTATTATTATTAACTTAAACAAGTTTTCTCGATTATTACTCAGATTATTATTAGTATTATTATTATTATGACCTTTGTGTTTGTCGCTTTTCTTCAATCTGTCAATTGAACTATTATCTGACCCATAAATTATTTTCTTCCTTACCCCTTGATTAGTACGTCACCTCATTTGTTATTTATTGTCGAATCAATTTTGTTAATGCAATCTTTTCTAGCCTCCTATAGACATATATTTTCCATATTACTATATATACGAATGTACAGCTTAAGTAAATGATTTCGTCGAAAAGAAAATGTTTATGTTATGAGTTATTTGGAACATCTTTGCAATGACGTTTACAGCTTTTCATATATTACTGGTAGATTGTTTATCGATTTAATGTTGCGATCTCCTTTGTACAATGTTTCTTTTCATTGTTAGTCAAGTTCTATTACTTGCTAACCTTCAAACCCATTGTTAGCTGTTCATAATTTTCAAGCTACTTGACTTTTGTCAATCATCATAAGGCCACTTTCTCAACCGTATATTTCGTTCATATTTTCCATCGTTCAGATCACTAATAGTAATTAAATTCGCAGTGCTCTGTTGTTTTACAGAGGTCAGTTCCATAGTACCCTCTTTAAAGTGATAAACATTATGTGTATGTTATGCTTTCCGAAGCAGCTCATTTGGTTTCCTGACCAGATTCTCACCATCTTAAAAAACACAAGATATTGTATTGCGATAAATTAGTTTGAGCAGTTTTTTATATATCCAACCATCCGTTTTTAGCGTCTTTGACAAGTGTTCGTCGATGTACGATATTTGCATACTATCTAGTGTTCACTAATTTTCGTTTTGCTGGTGTTATGAGTAAAGTGGAACAGTTTTTAACATTTTCTGGATGAACCACAAGTCACTGTAAAGTGTTTACTTTTTTCGTTTATCTATATTGAACTGTGTATTTCTATAAGTGGAAGAAGGTCAATAGTTTAACATCCTGTAATACTTAGTGATTTCTTTATTTGGTGAAACTAAGAACATTGATGATTCGATATGGGTGCTATTATTTTACAGAACCTAGTTGTGGATTTTCTACTTCATCGATCCAGTGGCAAAAGTGTACTGTTAGAGTACTGCTCTAAATTGGTGGTAGACAGTATCGAAGAGGTTACTGCCAATGTTGACAAACCTGTGAACTACAAATTCGATGGGTATGGGTTGAATCAACGACTAGATCAGTTTGCATTCGTCTTTAAACGGATTTGCGAAGTGAGCTACTGTGGGACAAACGTCACGAGTAAATTGCTCTCTGATTCTGATCGTAAAGCGCCAAGTGCTTCGGCACCATCATGCCATTGTTCTACAGTTGTGAGTGATGCTTTAAATTTAATGTGGATAAATACACTTTTATTGCAAATACTTTAAAGATTTTACTTGAGTCATTCAGCTCCTGCATATTTTCCTCTGTTGTGCCGATTTAATCCAGGTAGTTTCATCACACATAAGCCACCGCCTCAAAAACATCAAAAATAAAACCTACGATTCCAAATCGTTCATCGGTGATAGAAAATAGACTTTGTACTTGTGGCCATTTGCACATTTTTAAAATATTGCAAATAAAACCGCTCAATAAACACCAGTCACGCTTCCTCTATCTGTTTTTTTAATTTCTTCACTATTCAGCCAATTATGGTGGATATGATAGTATATTCGGTCTCCTCTCTTACCAGCACGATGCTAGACATTGATAACTTCAGATCTTATGCCACCACCCTACATCTGGTTGGTGTGATATGTTTGTAAGATACTAGTATTTAGAATTATGTTTGACTTATGGTCATAGTTTGATCGGTATTCCTAAAACGTCATAGCTGATAAAATTTCGAGATAACATTTTAAAGGTTATTCATTTCTCCGTTTTAGATGCAGCTATAACTTTCTGAACTTTAGAACATATTGGAATATGACTGGTCACCGATGTTTATATAAGTTTTTAATGAAATAGGTTTGATTTTCAGGTAAATACATGTAAAAGTAAATAGTTGATAAATCAACTGATTAGGGGAGTCTTCTCTCAGATAGTAGGACATTGTTTGAATCAAACCAGGGATAGTTATCTAACCTTCCGATGACCCTAGTTTAAGCAAACTTTACTGGTTCAGTATGAAAACGGTTTCTGTTTAAATGTATTGAAAATCAGACCTTCTCATTTTGTTCCTCACATTTCTAAAAACTCTTCAATGTTTTCATATTTTATTTCGACAGAAGACAATATCCAAAGGCTTATATGCGGGTTCATTAACCTTCTACATCATTTCCCAATCTGAAATATATTCACATTTATTTCTAAAGAACCAAGGTGTTGAGGTAAATGAGTTTGATTAGTTTTTGAGCTCATAATAATTAAAATAATATTGCTCAAACCTATAGGTCTTTATTTGATTACCGGCCATTCACCTTTGAATGAGACAACATATTGTTTTGTATTTTGCTATTAAGCTTTAAACTGAACAATAAATATATTGCTATGATGAAAACAGGTTACTTTTTAAATTTTCTTACAGAAAATTAAAGCGAAAGCTTTTTATGATCATCCAAATATATATGAGGAATTTTGACTCAGACATTTAAATATCATATAATTTTTCAAATAAGATTTGTCACGTAACTGATATCTGTCAACAGTTAAAAAAGGAATTTAGCTAGTGATGTTTCATGAGATAAGTTGTGAAAATATCACCAGTTACCGGTTTTCGTGACATAGTTATCTTTCTTTTTCGTCACATGTTTATAGAATATTGAATTGTTTTGTAAGAATGTGATAGAAATATCTCAACTTATTTGGTATTTTTTAATTAAAGTAGCGTTTCGCAACCATAATTTGTGGCATAATTCTCTAATGCATATCTTCATATTGTCTTTGCTGTTCTCTGATTAGATGTTACCACTTCTAGTTCTCTAATTTTACTCTGTCTCAAGGTCATGTTTGTTGCCATATGTTCAAAATTGTTGTACTTCAAATTTGTTTTCGTTGAACATCTAGCTTTTCTTCACTCCTGCCTTCTTAGATTTCGTCATTTAGGGATTATTGTTGAAGTGTTGTGCTTAGCAGATCCCGAGTTATCGAGCTCAGAATAATTTCTGTTTCTAATAGGAGAATTACGATTGTTCGTGATAAGCATCAACCGTAGACCCAACCAAAGCAATCTGAAGATAAAACGGGAAGTAGTCACAAATCTTATTAATTTTGATTAGATTTGTTTTGGTGAGGCGTTATTTTGTTGCAATGAAGCTGTTGCAGAGCTTTTTTCAAGCAGAAATCGAACCAAGGAAATAACTTTTGTTTTCTCCCCGTCTCTTCTGGTGTACGATCCGTTAGCGTAGTCTTAAAACAGTTAATACTACTATCATAGAAAAGACTTCGGTATTCACTTAGTGTATCAATTACTTTTATTTGTATCTGTCTGAAAAACAGACTTATCATCTCTCCACATACTAATCAACTAAATACATTCAAGCGGTATATCCCCAAACCAGACTTAAGTGACAATACTTTTTTATATTCTCTTACTATTGTTCACACAAGTCAACAGTTTTTTACTCTTGCCCCATTAGTTACTTGGCTTTGTTAATTGTGCTTACTAATATAGTGTATCTATTGTTCCACTTGTAAAGCTTATGAGTTACAGAACTTGTTACCATTACATTTAGTTCATACCTTTTTTTAATGTTTTATAAATGATTCGATTCATTGTCTAGTTAGATGAAATATCTTATTTTTAGATGGTGTTGCTGTTTTGAAAATTTTCATCCAGTATCCTCTAAAGGAACAAATGCCTTAGGCTGTTTTCGATTCTCTGTATACTTTTTTTGAAATGTCCTAGATTTCAGATAATTACCATATTCAAACTATAAATTACTTCTATTTTGTATACTTGTTTTGAATGCAACTTAAGGAATGCTTTGTTGGTCTTTTTTATTTTTAGAGACTAGAAGTCCGTAAATTGTTTCGCTCCATACTGATTGAATATATTCGCATATTTTCGGAGCACGATATTTGTGTGGATGTGAGTATCGCCAATTTTTAGTGTTATAACTACATTAGTTTATTCTAGCTAAGCTTGTTAGTTGTACAATATAGAATTATGCTAAATGGAGACAAGCAGTAAGAAAAAGTGACTACAGCTTTATTTACAATATTTGTATCGTTAGATTAATATATAATTATGTCTCGAATGGACCCATATTTGCTGTTTATAAAAACTTATGTTTACATCCAGTGTTTTAGACTGATTCTTAATAAATAATTGATGATAACATCTGTCAGTGGTCTGTTATCAACATTCTAATAAAAGGATTAACCATTCTTTGGATAGAAAGAGATATATAAGTTTTCCATGGGATACGCTGGTACATTTACTGCAAATTTTCTCGCTTCACAGAGTTTTTATCTCACTATTTCGGATTTGCCAACGTTGACTGTTCGTATACGAAAAGTAGGAATTTTGGGAAAGATACTAAAAGGTTTTGTTACCTTTGCTCACTATGACTGGGTAGTCCAACCAAATAGTATTTCCTAAGACTTTCTTCAATATCATCCAGTCATCATTCCAAGCTGTTTTTTTTATCAATACATACCAATATGATGTGTTTCATGTGTACTGTTCATTTTAAACCGAAATCAAGAGAAAAAGTACACCCTTGTTATGCTTGTTGCGAAATGATTAATAGCAAAATAAGGCTAAAACTCTTTTTGGAGTTTATATTATGTCAATTTAAGTTGTCTACTTCTAAAAACTACTAGGAATAAGATGCATCGAACAGTTGTTTAGCTTTTTCCTCTAAATCCTCGTTTTTGTCACCTCACAGGATTTCTCAAGAGACAAACAAACCCTGCATTGGTCACGTTCAGTTTACTCAATAGGATCTAAATATCTACATTTACCAGTTCCACACGTTTTGTCACACACCTTCTGTGTATTTTCGGATTGTGACTAGCAGTGGAGTCCAGGGTGCACATCTTACCCTGTCTATGACATGTTCGTTATATGGATAAACTGGCATCTTGGTTTTGACGTGCACATTAAAATTCGGATTAAATATCTATCTACTAACTGACGAGTCCAAACTTGGAAAGAATGTACATCACTGATCCCACTGCCAATCACAACCGAAAAACATATCATAAACGTACATATATATGCAATACTGGAGTATCCGTGTATGGTGCATATGTGCTAACGGAGATTGCTGTGATGAAATTCGGAATGTGAACAACTGAAAAACATTGATCTCTAAAAATTCGTCACATAATTTGTCACTATTATAACGTATTATGATATGAACGTGAATAATCGACAATGATACTTTTCAATCTGCATTAGTTATTGTTATAATTCCTCTCATTACAACCCAGGTATTCCTATTGCTTAGTATCCTTGAACACCAATTCACTCGACAGGTCCCCAAATCAGAACACGGTTGAATAGGAAAGAAATTATATTCCGAATAACAAGAGTAGATGGGAGCAAGAAGCACAATAAGAGACGTTAGTATATTTATAGTTTTTACATAAGAAGATTCTAGAGTGTTCTCCAAGTATCGACTAGCGCTGATTGGATGAGAATTAGCCATCGTGCATGGGACATGCTTCAATCCAATCTATGTCCCGTTAACAGTTATGTGTTTTGTCTATCTTAAATTCCACGCCAGGTATTTTAAAGTTAAAGTGACCTTTGCACTTCAAAATTGTCGTCACATGATGAGATGGTTCTGCACTTTTTTCATATCTAAACCTTTATTGACGTTTTTCGAATTAATTTCTTTTCAGCATTGTTTCTACGAAATGCTCGTCAATCTCACTGTCAGAATGGGGGATTATACACAACTCAGTTTTTATATTCAAAGTCGTTTACTTGCAGATTCAAAGGCTACCGTAATACCTTATCTTATAAAAATGAGAACTTGGTTGTTTTTGGTTTGTTGCAATTTATTCGTAAACAGTTAACTGATTCTAGCAATTTACTATTTCTTCTAATACGTAGTGGTGGTTCATTCAAAATTCTATTTGTTTATTTTCTTGGTAACCACTGTTTGTAATTTTAGTTCTAACTTACGGTTGATTAATCTGCACTTGTTGTATCGTAGAGAACACTGAACTGTTGTTAGTAATCGCTTATCGTAGCTCTTAGTTAATGAGAGGAAATTCACAATAGTTAGATTCAGTTCTCCATATTCATATCTTTAGTTTTTTCAATCAGAACGTTTGTTGATTCCGTATATCTATGCAAGGGTTAGCAATTTTTTATTAAAATTGACCATATATTGTTATCTAGTGTATGGCTTTTTCTAGGCACTTCAACTGCTTTCTTTGGAAAGTATATATCCCGCAGCAGGACAACTTGGTATTGATATGCTAAAGGTAGGCCACCATTCCACTTTTCGATTACATGATTTGAAGTCGATAGCTATTGTATGTTGAAATTTTAAAAAAATAACAATAGAGGTTCACGACTCATTTCGACTTAAAATCTTTAGTACTCTCCTCTAAAAATGATGAAGCACTGATCCAATGATGATCTTTTGATAATGCCACTATTAACCAATTAGCAATAATAGTTACTCTCATTCTCGAATTTATTTCACGCTAATGATAACAGTCTGCTTACCTCAAACTGAATGTCAATCAGAAAGCTGTAAACAACTGACTGATAACTTTGTACTGTTTTGTTCAGTCTGAATAAAACGTAGGTAATTATTAATTATTGTTTGTTAAAAAATATCTAGGGTAGCAGCCAAAAAATATGCCTTTACCTAAAATTAACTGATCACTGTTATCACTAAAGTTTATTTCAAGAATTATTATAAAAATATTTGTTGGTAAAATACAATAATTTCTGACGGATAAACAAGTTTAGTCAATTTACACTTTCTGAGCAGAATGGTTCAATCGTAAAGTTTACATTGCATTAGGTTCACTGGAATAATACATCAGGAGTCAATCAAAATATGGAAATCTCCTAGCTTCTCGAAAATCTATAAATGTATTTGGTACTACAGTAAACAATAACTAGTTTACGTAATACTCAAGATGATAAAGTCAGCAAAACATTTAGTACTCAGTAGAAACAAGGGTAGAAATATGACGAATTCAATATAGCTGGAAGTATACAAAACCCACAAACCAATCGTAAAGTAGTTAATTTGCAACCAACGAATGATATATTAGGAAGAAATTTGTTCGTCGCTAATAATATTGTTTTAGTGCACATATGTAATACATTGTTTAACTTGACAAACTTCAAAAGAAATTGGACTGTTAGAATTAGCTCACTAATGACTTGTTCCATCGACATTGAACTTGGTTGGCTATTGTCAAACTTTGTCATATGATTGTTGGTATATTTTTATTAATAGTGTTGTAATTGCTTATGTATGTAACGATCGCTACTGGAATTCTGACTTGAGATTTTAAGATCGAATTTCTATGCCAGTACGAAATTCATATCGTATTTAAATTCTTAAACACAGATTGTTATGAAATGTTGAACAATTAGATTGTCCCAATGATAAAAATTACTTGTATTAGCTGTTGAATATTTTAATTTCTCTTTATATCTCTGTGTTTATTTTCACTAATCTTTTTATTAGAGATTGAATACATGCAACAGTGAATTGTTCGATGCATTACTAATAAAAGGACGGCCATTAGAGGCATTAAGGTAATCAGTTTTACTTTAAAAGTCCGCGTCTTAGTTTTTTTTTTAAGGTGAAATTCAAGTTATATATATATATATATATCCTTGATATAATCCGATCTAATTATTCTCGATCACTGATCGTCCTAACTTATAAACAAGCACTAAAATCCTCGTGTAGTAACCGCAAGATAATCAGTTTGTCTAGAATATTACCTTCATAATCATCAAACTCTTGGGAGGGGGTTCATGAAGAGCGAACTCTAGAAAACTATGCTGGTTTCAGATCTGAACATGGTTTTGTCGATCAAATATTCATCCTTCACCAGGTTACAAAAATTAGGCATATTTGCCGATGTCTGACGATGTTGGTATTTCTCGACTTAAGTGCATAATTTGGCTTCGTAGATCGAGCGGTTTTGTAACAGTATCTGTTATTAAAAAGCGTACCAAAGAAATACGTCGACTTTGTGTGGATTCTCTTTTCGAATACTACTAGTCATTAAAATTGATAACACCAAGTTGTGTTCATCAGAATTGTCCGCTGTTTCTTCCTTTTACTTAACTTTGTCATTCTCTTAGAAATAACACTCGTCGTCTGATTTTTATAGTAATGAAACTCTTGTCAGCGTGGAATACATAGATGAGATAGTTCTGTTTGGTAATAATGAAAATACAGTCTTTTGGTCTTGAACAATAATATAGCAGTATTTGACTCGACCGCAGCTGCTACCTTGACGTGGCGGTTGGGCTTTCCTATCGTGATGACCCAACCAAGCTATATTGACTGGAACATATGTTTCTGTAGGCTCTACCATTCCAGGCAGTCGATTGGAGAACGGTAAGACTTAAAGCAGCAACTCAAGGTCTGAGTGCGATGTCGTACTACTGACTATACAGAGCTGTGACGGCAGTAAGGTGTTTCCCTCGGACAACCAGCATCTGCAGCGATACTGCCTTCTAACAAGGAAGGAAGGGGTTAGAAAAGGTTGACGGTAAAGCTGTCATGCCTCATCTTACCTCGCGGATTTCCGTCTCCGGCGGTAAGGCCCTTTGAAGAACGAAGCTAACACGTCAAAAACCTCCCATAAAAGGCCGTGCGCGACTGGCCCCAGGCAGTTGTCCCTTGGGCTCTGCGGTCACGGACCAACATCAATCCAACTTCCTTTTCAGGTCCCTCAAGAAATACTCTTCCACAGTGTGGGCAGCCGGGAAGTGGTATTAACCCTCATACCCGTAACAGCACACGAGACCAAGTTGGTCACATTCAAATCCTTCCTACATCTGCTAATAACTCTTATCTCCTCAACTAACCCTTCATACGTCCCTTTATCACCTCTCACCGGTAGGGCAAATGATTCGAGTACACGGAACGTTATCCCTGGTCTCCTGAAACTACTCTCTAAATTGCATGTAGGAGCTTTCAACATCCGAACACTGTGTCAAATAGGACAGCAGGCTTCCTTAGCTAGGACTTTGGAACCTCGCACCATCAATGTGTGCTGCGTCTCCGAAACGCACATACAGGATCCGAGTAGCGTCATTCATTTGACCTCACCATGTCATAATAAAGAACCAACTCGATTCACGCTCCGTGTATCTGGAAGCCCTGATGCTGCTTCCCGTGGCCTCGCTGGTGCAGGTATAGCTTTGAGTCCTAGGGCAGAAAGAACTAACTCTCTTAGGCTGGATCCCAGTAAACAGTCGTTTGCGCGCTGTCTGACTAAACGGAACAGTAAGGACTCGAAAAGATAGGGACACTCGTCGTTGCCCTTTGATCGTCTCTGCCTACTCTCCCATTGACTGCAACTCAGATGAGGTAAAAGATGGGTTTTACAGAAAGCTTTCCGCCCTCTCCCAAAAGCTAGGCACTCTGATGTAGTAATAGTGGCTAGTGACTTTCATGCTCAACTAGGTAACCTTAACGAAAAAGAAAGACATCTGGGTGGATCTTTTGGTATCGTGACCCAAAGAATGGATAATGTTGACCTTCTGTTGCAACTATATTCAGATAACCACCTGTTTCTTGAAAATACTAACTTTAAGCACAAGGAAAAACATCTTTTGACATGGCGACCCCTGAATTCTTCCCAACTGGATCACATCGCTATCAGCCACAGATGGAGAGGCTCGATAGAAGACTGTGGCTCATTCTGGGGCACATGTTTAGATTCAGATCATGCTCTAGTGCGAGCACGTATCTGTCTGCGTCTTACTGGTCGTAGGAAAGACACTGCAGGGAAGCCTCTTAGGGTTCTACTTAATGATAGGCAAGCTAAGAATATTTTTCAGGAACAACTAGGAAAACAGTTAGGCAGCCTTGTAAGTTGTGCCCACCCCGAGGCAGCGTGGAATGAAATCTAAAAAGCTGTGGATACAGCTGTGATATCCGCTAGTAAGGTAAGCCATAAGGTCAGGGAGAAACAATGGGTCTCGGCAGCATCTATCTCACTGATAGATGCTCGAAAACTCATCCCATCTGGCTCTGAACATAACGAAGAGCAGAGTCAGCTTAAACGCAGGCTGATAAGAAGCCTACGCGATGATCGTCAACAGTGGTAGGTAGCGAAAGAAAGCGAGATGGAAAAGGCAGCGGCAATAACTAACAGCGGACAATTGTTCAGGCTTGTTAAAGAAACCGGTATTTGGAACCCAACTATCAGCGAAACTATCTCGGAAAAAGATGGACATATTATTGATTGTCAATCTAGGAGGTTGGATCAATGGGCAGAACATTTTAGGTATCAGTTCAACTGGCCTTCAGCCACACTTCGGTTTCCCTTGATCCCTAGTCGACCTGAATGTCAAGTTAATGTAAATCCTACAACTCTCTTCGAGGTTGAAAAAGCTATAGGAAATCTGAAGTGAGGGAGAGCAGCAGGCGTTGATAGGTTTACCCCCGAGACTTTTAAGGATGGCGGTCCAGTACTAGCAGCGAGATTGACTGAGGTCTTAGGTAGAATCTGGGAACTGGACGTAATTCCATCTGACTGGTCCCAATCACTGATTGTGCCAGTCTACAAGAAAGGACAAAAGTCTTCTTGTGACAATCACAGCGGAATATAGTGTCCACAAAATTGGCTTCAATGATATTTTGACGCCTAACCAAAGCTAATAAAGAGCAGACTAGAGAAAACCAGACTGGTTTTCGACCTTGCCGGGGTTCTATAGACTAGATATTCACTCCACGTCATGTTCTAGATTATAGACATACATTCAGACACCCCACAATGATAGTATTTCTCAACTGTAAAGCGGCATGACTCCGTTGATCGTGAGGTTCTATGACAGTGTTTGTCACTGAAAGGAGTACCAAAGAAGTACATTAACCTCATAAAGGCTCTCTACTCGAACACAACTGGTCGAGTTGGAGCCTATGGCGAACTGTCATCAGAATTGATTACCTCAAGTGGTATTCGTCAGGGTTGTCCAATCTTTCCATTCTTGTTTAACTTTATCATAGACGTGCTTTTAGAAACAACACTTTCCTCGTCTAAATTGAAAGGGGTTGAACTTCTACCAGGAGATTCACTTGTTGACTTAGAATATGCCGATGACATAGTTCTATTTAGTGAAGATGCTAAGCAACAATGCAAGCATATTTGGGATGCGATTCTCCCCCTCGAAATGCAAAATCTTACTTCAGGATTGGGCTGCATCGACACCTGAACTAATGATAGGGCGTGAAGTAGTTGAGCGTGTCGACCGCTTCACTTATCTTGGAAGTCACCAGCCCTTGTGGTCTGGTGTGCGACGAAATACCAGCACGGATACAGAAGGCTCGTCTAGCTTTCGCCAACTCGCGTCATTTATGGCATAGGCAGGATATCCGTGTAGCAACAAAAGGACGGGTTTACTGTGCAGTAGTTCGTTCTGTCCCACTTTATGGCAGTGAAACATGGCCGGTAAGAGTAGAGGATATTCATAGGCTACTAGTGTTCGATCATAGGTGTCTTTGGAGCATTGCTCGTATATCCTGGGACCACCGGGTAAGTAATGCAGTTGTTAGGAAACGGGTACTAGGTGAGGATGGCAAATCAATTGACGAAGTGGTAAAACTTCACCAGATCAGATGGCTGGGACACGTGTTACGTATGGCCAACCACCGACTGCTCTGACGTGCAATGTTTTATGGTGTAAGAGTAGGTTGAAAGTAAGTTAGGGGCGACCAGACCAAAACGTGGCACAAATCCATGAAGCCACTGACAAGTGGACTGAGCCGTGCTGGTAGGTACAAACTACTTGGTTGGGATCCGCGAGATGATAGCAATTGATGGTTAGAGACCTTGAATGACATGGCTCAAAATCGTTTGCGATGGCGAAGATGCATCCACTCTTTTTGTTCTGCCAAATTCTAATCTTCTGAATTCTTCACGTCTTTATCTTTTTTCTCTTTCCAAATTTATTTCATTGTATTATACTCCTTCAATAACATCTTCAAACCCTAATCTTTCACATAATGCTTATGCTCTTACTACTTCTACCACTATGGAATTTCAATCGACAACTGCATATTTATGCTAATGTAGTATGGCAACTCGGACTGATGGACGTACTTGCGAAGTTCTACGTTGTGACTGACTGGTGCGTGGCAACGCCTGAACTAATAAAAGGAAGGGAAATAGTTGAACGCATTAACCGCTTCATTTATCATGTGAGTCTCATTAACCTTAGTGAATTGGTATCTGACGTGGTCTCAATACAAGTTCGGGAAGGTCGGTTGGCTTTTGCTAGATTGCATCACTTGTACCTTAGACAACATGTCCGTCTACGTACTAAAGAAGGGTTATACTGCACATCGTTTCGGTCTACTTTACTTTATATTTGTGAAACGTGGCCATTCTCAGGATTCTCGATATCTTTTGGGACAGCTGAGTGAGTAGTGGTAATGTTAAATGTAATGTGCTAGGTGATGGGAAGTTGGTTCATAAGGTAGTGAATGTTCATCGACTAAAATGGTTGAGACCTGTAATATATGTGTTCGACCACTATGTACTTCGAGGGCCAATGTTGGAAGGTTGGAAGAATCCTAGAGGTGGGTAGACCGAAAAGTGGTGTTGTTCTATGAAATCATTGATTTCTGCTAAGGTAGGTTCGTCGGTGCCCGTACAATTATCGGAGACTTTGTGTGACTTGGGTTTAAATCGATCGTAATTGTTCAGATCTATGCACTCTTTGTCATTCCGTGGATTTTGTGTTTCAAAATTGTTTTATGCTTTCTTACCCCATGAAGTTGTATCTTGTTAAATCATGTCGTTTACTACCACTGATACTTTTACTACTCTGTAATTTATCTCAATGTGCTTATTTGGTGCGGCACCTCAGACTGACGCACATATATGCCAGTTACTACGTTGTGTATGGTTCAATGGCCATTCGTTCATTACTTTGCTTCTGGTTTTATTCTTTTATATATGTTTGACGGAGTAATATTTCCCCTAGTTTACAATCAACTTCGGAATCTAAGGGTACCAAGCTTTTAAAATGTAGTATTTGTGCATGGGAAGTTGTCATGCATATAATTAACTTGCCACCATTCTTTTTCTTTTGTATAACTAAATGCAAGTTTTTGAATTATTTGTCTTCAAATATCACTAATAATATGGTTTCCAACCATATGATAATACATTTATTAATGTTAAGAATGTTGTGTTACTTTTAGTTTTCTGAGCACTAGGTAAACGTGGACAGTATATTCTCTTTTTTTTATATCATTCTCAGATTTGCTAGGCTGCATCGCTCAGAAAATATCATTGACATGGAGAATGTTCGCAATTATCTGGATGCTATCCAAGAAATCGAAGATTATATGGAATTGTATTGTAATCACCATTTTCTTAAAGAAAATTCAATGTGTATGGAGTCTTATTGGAATTCAGGTACTTTTGAAAACTATTATTCTAAAAGCCTTATCACTTCTAAATTACTTAAACTTGAAAATTTTCTTGAAATTAAAAGAATTCTTACATAGTTAGTCATTCGTTCACTGAGTTTTTTAAGGGCTCCGTTCACAACTGTTAGTTCGGATGCCAACTATTAAGAAGTTTAGCTTTTAGAATTATTAGTTTACATTTTATTCCTTAGGCATTACGTGTGAATACCTCCGATCCCTCGTCAGTGAAACGAAAGATTCACACAATATGCTTTCCAACCTTTGTCACCATGATGTTTATAAATCAATGGTTTAATTTCTAGATAAAGAGGCTTGCGTAGAAATTATTACTACATTTTAAATTAAAATTGAAATACTACTTCAGTTCATGTAATCTTAAAATTTTAAATAGTTTAGTATGGATTCCTCTTGGACTCTTTTTTGATTATATCATCTATATCTGAATCATGAAAATAATTTCGTAATGAATTCAACTAATTGTAGAGAGATATCGCTCACCAAAATTTATGGAGCAACTTTATTGTCATTACAAGGAGTCTTGTATCTTATTTAATAATACTGTACGTAATGTACATTATTAATACTTGTCAACATACACATTCAAAGAATGGTTTTGGTATGCTAATAACGCGCTTCTCCATATACTTTTACGTTAAAACAAAATAAAATGTCAATTATTTTATTTCTTGATCCAATAATAACTGAAAAAGTATTACAGATTCATCGTTTAGCTAAAACCTAATTTTATTCAGATCAATATATATCCTAGAGGGATGTAACAATAGTTTGGTCTAGGTCTTTACGGAACCATTATAATGCAAACTTGAACACTTGAAGCTCTTCTTGGTTATACATTCCCATAATTATTAATGAAATGCTTATTTCTATCGGTTTTTTTCAGATGAATGCCGTAAATATTGTACCGAACACTTTAGTGACCTGTTTCCGTCCACTTAATTTGAACTATAATTTCATATAAAAGAAAATGGATGTCTTAATACTTATTACGTGATCCCTATATAGCTGTCTCTTTTTACTCTTTTCTTTTGTTTCATTTTTGTAAGTGTACTGCACCATGATGCACCTAATAAAGTATACGTTGTGTTGAATTTGTAAATTAATAAACATATGTTTCGGTCGCTTCAATATGCCATAATATAACATTTACCATATTAAAGAAATATGCTTTTGTTGAAGTAATGTGTATGCTTGTTGACGAGTCTCTATGATGCTTAAATAAATCAATGACTTCTTTGTATTGATGACTGTTGTAATTTTGAATTCCAAATACAATACATTCGTTCAGGCTCATCTGATACTTCTTGATTAAATTGCGTTATTCCTGGGATTACTAGTTTATACTAAAATTCAAATACTTCTGATTATCATAGTCTCTCATGATCCTTAAAAGGTAAGCTCACTAGTGTTAATTAAAAGCGTCATGTAACGGGAAGATTGAGATCTCATTGTTACTGATAATAATCAATATGAAAATTTTCGTATACATAAATGGTCTCAACAACACTTTTAGTCGTTTCTATAAAAGTGCAGTTTATAGCTAAATGTTTCACATATTCATTATAGTGGTCTAAATGTTCATTGTTGACAGTTGTGTTTGTAAGTCGTTCATACACTTGACTCAGTTCACGCTAGCCTAATGGAATTAGTAAGATTCATTTATCAAACATCAGGGTTGAACTATATTTTTTCTATTTTGTTACTTGAATTGAAACATTAAAAATACAATTTCTGATAGCAATCGTTAGAAATCGAAATGTTAATCTAGTAAGGTGGGTTAAGTTATTTATAAAAATTCTACCAAAAGTCATCTTACAAATATGTTTTGAAATATCAATTACTTCGTTGTGAAATAAATACCCACTCCCCGGTTAATTGCATTATTTTGTGTTAAAAATTCTTAAATGTGGAAACAGGTGTCGAAAATATCAGATTTATGTGGCAGCTTCCTTCATGTTAGGAGCTCTTGAAATTATCATTAGAGGCCGATAAAGTGCTGAAAATACGTCTATCTATCAACATTCTTTAAAAATTACCACTATAAATTTGCAAAACGACTAGTCGTGTTGTTTCCCTCCGTTTAGTTAATTACTAATTTTATCTTGTTTTTCGGAAGCCTCTATAATATCAAGGCCACGTAACATATTATAAACACCCATATATTATGTATATAAACTAACCTTGAAAGTAAAACTTCTATAATTCCGCTGTTTTGTTTTTTCTTTTCGGGGTTCAAGAGCAAAAAGTTTCTGGAAATTAGTAATTCAGGGTCCACGTTTTCAAACACTAGGTGAATCACGTTATGGTAAAAAGAGCATTTATTTCTGTCTCGCTTCACTGTCTAAATTTAAAATAATTAGAAATAATGACATACCAAATTACTATCGAATTCCTGTTACGGTAGTATGTGTCGTCCACTACATTCAGATAAAACACTGCTTTTGAACAGGAAATGAAAAAAAAATCAACTTCATTATTGTTTGGAGCCAGTTATACTATATGTCAGCCGTATTTTAATGTTGCAAGAACGAATATATTCGCACAACAAAATTAGGATCTTTTGTGGCATCGTTGCAGCGTAATTCCAATTTCACTGACCAGTTACTAAGTGACAAGTTTATGTTAAATGATTGTGGTAAGAAGTCAACTACGTTATGTTTCTATTTATGTAGGTTGAACCAATAATGATTCATCCAGTTCAGATGTCTAACAAATATACTACTTAATAACTACTTGTTGGAATGTGCTCAAACAAAGGAAACGTCTATGTGATTGGTTGCGTAAATTGGTAGATAGAATTGTAAGTACCATTAAGAGAGAATTGTTCCAGTGAGAAGTATGACAAATATGGTGTATTATGCCAAATTCAGCATAATACCTCAAACGGGATAAGTTAGCATTCAGTTTTTTAATTCTATGAGAACGTCCAATGCAAATTGATCCGGGTCTGAATAAGTGCTCCCGTTTCTTCACCGCTTTTGGAAACATGGAAACCTTTACGCGAAGGTTGCCTCCTAACAGAGTATGTTGTCCGAGAACAAGTACTGTTAGAACCAGTATTTTGTGTTATAATTTCATTGGCATTACGGACTACATGGGGTTCACCATCACGCGGTTCTGTGCACATTTTATCAACAGGAGAACATTGCCGTATTCAAGATAATTTCCCTCTGCTAATAGGTTGTTGAAATATACCGGTGTAGTTTACTCGAATTTCATAGTGATTATAGTCGAATGTTAGATGTATTGCTAACTTGTCATTAAATTTCGAAAACAAGATAGCTTTCCCAAATCTCATGTGCATTTCAAAGTAATTATTTTCAAATAGTGTCTAGACATATTCTCATTGAACTCCAGCGGCATTTTAAAGTGCAGAATAAACAACCATGAATCTGGTACATTCTCCATAAGGTATAAAGATACAAACTTACTCTTATATTTATTAATTTTCGCAGATATATTTTTAGTTACTGAGCATATCGGCTGGAATATGTAGAGTCCAAACATTACTCCAATTTCGTTTAATATTACCTTCAAATTCTAACTGTCATGATTCCCTTAATTTTCCTTTCGATGTTTGGTTTTATCTTTTATTCATTGATTGCTAATATCAGAAATATAACTGCGTTCATTATTTGTTACTCAAGATCCATCTAATTCTATTTGGTCAACTACATAGGCTTAAACTACTGCCTGAGTAATTTTATAATTATGTCACTCTAATTTGTTTGAGAGATGTTTAGTCTGCGCGAAAATGGATTCAGTTTTGAATTTCGCATTAAAGTTTTACGAATAAGATCGTAAAATGTTTTGATAGCGGGACACCAGAATTTGTATAGTGTTTCAGAATCTTACAATTAATTACCTATCAGATATAAAGACGAACCAATGTTTTATTGCAATCAGACCTAACTTTTTGTCTCAAATTACCGTCTTAGTCATCGACAATATGCTTATCTTATTAAAGGTTTTGTATTAAAAAGAGCTGTAGTTTTCTTGTATGAGGTTATAATATCTTGATTGGCTAATCTGGTTGTACTATCATATAGTTACCAGTAGTGTAGTAATGTTCTTCATAGCGAAATACAAACTGTGTAGTAGGAGAGCGTCTGTAGCTGTTCTCTTTTCACTTTAATTGATAAGAAATATTTCTTCTCTGTATTCGTCCTTTCTTAGCTGTCTAAACGCGAATTTTCGTTTTATATTCAATCTGCTAATTGAAAATCAACAATTAAATTCGAACCTATCATAGCACGACTGAGTAGCAATGTCATTTTTAAGAATTTAGATTTCCGGTGGTTTTACGACTCTTATTAGTTCAGACCAAAAATCAACAATGTAAAATGAGTTCTCTTAATTACTCGTGAATTGTTCTTTCTTAATCCAGGTATGTATATACATTCGATGATAATGAGGTAATATGAAATGATTATTTAACTCAATCAGTTTACTTTGTTGAACTCATTTGTTAAATTAGACTGTGTGTTTGTCTAAGAAAAAACGTAAGATGATACAAGTCGATTTTATGATATATTCCGTATCACTGAATTATAAGGACAAAAAACTGAAAGTTTGTCGAAATCCTTGGGGTTAAAGTTTTCTGTTTCATTTTGCGATTATCTTTTTGATTTGGACGCTACATAATGCTCATTAACCAACTAAGGACTTACATTTTAAAAGTTATCATTAGTACTTGTGGTTTTGTTTAGAAAATTTCCTACTTTACTGAGTGAACTTGCTTCTCTATAATGCACTATCTGTCTACACCGTGAACGCTGTTATAAAACTTTAACCCTAACCAGTGTTTGTAGAATGATTTTTCGAATTCATAATCAGTCATGTATTGATTTATCGAGAAACAATGTTTCATCATGAGGTATGTCCTTAAGATATTCAAAAGTACTGCCATGAGTGTCGGAATTGTAGGATACGTTAATTCGGTTGTATAATAATCACTTAGCAACACTCTGGATATCCCACGCCGAAATATGAACTTCAATAATATATATTAAAACACAAGAATATTTGTCCTACGGTTGGTTTCGTGAGGTTTTTTATCGTACTTCTTAATGATATGATGGGATTCTTATTCTCCGAAACAGGAAATATGTCAGCATTACATCTCCAGTAATCCTATTTGTTTTTATGATATGTTAACCATATAATTGATAAACACAATCCATTGTTTATAGCGAATTATTTATCTTTAACACAATATGGGACCTTGGTAACAACTTAGTAACGCCTTATTGTATTTTTAAATATTATGTTATACTAGGATTGAATAGAAATCACATCTAGGTACAGGAATAAAATATGTACACTAAGAATGTTAGAGTAAATACAATGAATGGAATACAATAAGTATGTATATATCGGATGTCCGGAAATACTACAAAAATTAAGTTTTTAATAATAGAGCGGCCATGAATTGTTTTATACTGTCCACTACTTAGTTGTAAATAAGTTAATTTTGATAAATATCACTGATCATATCTATAATGGTTACTATAACTTTTTCTACTAAGAGGTTATAACTAGTTATTGGAAGAGGAAAAAACTACAATAAATGAAGCAATATGAAATACCGACAAGTAAATTTTTGAAAATAATATCGTGCACTATTTAATACTATTTTTATTACTATCGAAAATGAAGGAAGATTAGTCTGAAAATTGAAAACAAGCTTATTTAATGAGAAATTGAAGTTTCAAACTACAGAGCAGAACAAGTTGTCAACTTCCTATTAAATATAGATAACTAATGCATGTAATACTGATTAAAGGCAAAAAATTGGAATTATAAGTTACCTGCTTTCCGTCGACACGATGGAGATCTAATTGAGCAAAGATTTATTAAGAGGAGTACATAAAATTTCTTGTTCATCAAAATATCAGCAAAAAGAAGGAATGATTTATGAGGTATTGAAAACAATATTCATTCATTATTTATCTTTCTATTTGTGCTTAACAATCACTAAATAATAAAGCCAATAGAAACAATTGTAAAGTAAAAAACATGCTGGAAAAACGAATCGACTATAACTATCTATTTTAGACATTGACGCTGGTTTCTTAACGCGTTGTGGTTCATTTGGTGGTAAAAGGGCATCTTTCTGTGTTGTATCTAAAGCTGTAAGTGCAGAATCATTGGTTACTAATTCATAAAAAACGCCCTTTGAAACTTTATCTGATTTTCCGGACTTAATATTAGCCATTGACATTAAACCTGACTTTGTTAGGCGAACAGACATTTGAGGACTTGGTCTTTCTAGTACAGGGCTATTCTGAAT